AAAGATACCTGAAGAAGCAAAGGCCAGCTATCGCTGTAAGGTTCTTGGGAGTTTTATGGTTGGGTAAGATGAAAACAGAGACTCCCAAATTATACAACCATTAAAAAAAATCTACAGTACCTGGGGTGGGTTGCCCCCCTATAAGCTGTTGGGCAGAGAGATCCTAGAGGTCCTCAAATTCACCAAGGCTATTGCCATTAATATCGGTTGTACACTAGAAAGGTCAGTAAGACCATGTTGCTGAAGACACTGCATGTTGTGAGTGCAGGGCAGGAAGAAGAGATGTAACTGAGGCTAAGCCAAAAATCTCCATGCCACTGGTTGGATGATGTTCATATTACCAGAAGGCACTATGCAGATGGTTGGGGAAGAAAGGATCCCCTATGATTCTACTCAATGATATACCCCACGTGTTACACACTATGGACATGCCAAGCAATACCTGCAAGTGCAATAATGGCTTGACCAACATATGTACAACTGACAAATTTCTAATTGGATAAGGCCTGCTCCTAGGGGTGGAACACACATCTGGTGCTGTAGACCAGGCCAATGCCTTGTGTTGAGAAAGGCTACAGGCCCTAGAGAGGAAGCCATCACAAGTATACTGTTTAATGAATATAGTACACCTACTGGGATATCTTCTAGGTATTTGTATTTACATTCATGTTTGTTTAAATGTGTCTACTTCCTTCCATTTGTTTTTATAGTAGAAGAAACACGATTGAGATAGATTAATGGCCATGGCTTAAAGACAAATAATGGGGAGGTCCAAGAAGTCACTATCTTGTGATGATACAAGAGAGATCGCCATACATCTGTCATCCCCTACAAGGCTCAGGGACCTTAGCGGAAGATTGGTGGAAAGATTGTTAGGGTGGAGGAAAGGGGTGGAGTGTGTTCCCCAGGGGTTCTAGTTCCTCCAAGGGGTGGGGCCTGCTGTGGAGAATTGACTGTGGAGAGTTAGCCACGGAAGGAGGGTCTCGTGGTGCCATCTTGGGATGGGAGCCACGAGCCAGGAACGTATGGCAGCAGGTGTGGGGAATGTGCAGCAGCTGGGTCTACTCAAGGACAGAATGGCCCAGCACTTATGGACCTGGGAAGAGACTGCTGGCACCTGAGGTGTGGGCAAAAGGTAGCAGTGACTATGGGCATGCCTTGGGAGTGATCTGATATGGCGGGCTCTGAGTCGTGATGCAGAGCTGTGCAACGTGGAGCTGAGTGGCATGGAGCTAGGCACTGGGTGCTCATTTCTTTGTAAATCACTTCCCTCCCCCTGACAATAATAATAAATGCACATAAAGATATGTTATATGGTTTTCCTGATAGCACAAGCGACCAGAGAGAACTCTGGTGACAAATCCCCTACTCACCATCCAGCTTCAACTCACCCATGCATCTCCTGCCATCTAGGCTGAGATCAAAGTATGCATTGCACACACACTGAAAGCTGCCCTCTGTGTTGACACAGTGGCCCATGTGGCAAAGGCTGCCATGGATGATGCACTCATCTACATCTGGGGGAGGAAGTCAGGCAGGTGGTCAGGAAGTATAGTCCAGATTCCCTCTCCCAACTGTCTTCATTTTTGGATGGATGGTTGGATGGGTGAGTGGATAGATGGGTGGGCAGGTGGACATAGGGGTGGATGGATGAGTGGGTGGATGTGTAGGTGGATGAGTAGATGGATGGATAGATAGATGAATGGATGGATGGATGGATGGATGGGTAGATGGGTAAATAGGTGGATGTGTGAATGGATGGTAGGTGGATGAGTGGATGGATGGATGGGTAGATGCGTAAATGGGTGGATGTGTGAATGGATGGTAGATAGATGAGTGGATGGATGGATGGGTAGATGGGTAAATGGGTGGATGTATGAACAGATGGATGGTTATATGAGTGAGTAGATGTGTTGATGGATGTGTGGATGGATGAGTGGTTTATGGGTGAGTATACGAATGAATGGATGGATGGGTGGGTGAATGGATGAATAGGTAGATGGATGAGTGGATGGACAGATGGGTGGATGGATGGTTGAATGGGTATGTGGATAGGTAGATGAATAGGTAGATGGATGTATGGGTGGGTGGATGGGTGGAAGGATGGATGGGTAGGTGGACAAATGGATGGATGGATAGATAGATGAATGGATGAATGGATTGGTGAGTGGGTGAACAGGTGGATGTGTAGGTGGGTACATGAATAGGTAGATGATGGATAGATGGCCATACCTACACATGTTTGCTTGGTGAGCGTGGCCTGGAAGCCCTTATGACACTGGCAGTGGTAGGAGCCAGGAGTGTTGACACAGTGACCATGGTGACAGGGGCTGCTGGTGCATTCATTCACATCTGCATGCAGAAGACCCTGAGCTATGGTCCAACAGGGTGGTGCCGACCTAGTTCCACCCACTTGTGACTTACCAATACACTCTCCATTCACATCCTGGGTGTAGCCCACATTGCATTCATAGTGGTAGCTGGAAGGGGTGGGCAGGCAATGGCCATTGAGACGCAGGACGGTGAAGTGGCGACAGATGTCAATAGTTTGGTTCAGAGTGACTGTACCTGCAGGGGGTGGGCAAAAGGGGCACCTAAGCATTGGCAGCCCTTCCCCCAACCAGAGCTACAGTTTTGGCTCTAGGTTCTGACACCTCCAGAGGCTAAGATTTTCCTGGATTGGATGCCATCCCCATGTCCTAGCCAGCTTATTCAGACACTCACCCACTCTAGACCCTCATGTTTGGTGTAGCTCCTCATTGTGGAGTAAGACTCCTTGTTAGGGTCTGAGTGTGAAATGCCCCCCACAGACTCATTTTTTTTGGTGTGCATATGTATGTATGTGCAGAAGACTGTGTGTTCCCATGTGTGTGCCAGTGCACTTGTGTGAATATGTGGAGGCCAGAGGTCAACCTTGTGTGTCCTTCCTCAGGAGCCATCCATCTTGTTTTGTTTTTCTTTAAATTAAACTAAATTTTGGGGACTGGAGAGATGGCTCAGTGGTTAAGAGCACTGGCTGCTCTTGTAGAGGACCTGGATTTGGTTCCCAGCACCCATGTGGCAGCTAACAACCATCTATAACTCCAGTTCCAGGGGCTCCAGTGCCCTCTTCTGGCCTCTGTGGGCACTGCATGCACTTACATACATGCAGGCAAAACATTCATGCACATAAAATTGTTTTAAAACTCTGCAATATTAGTACTATGCTATTTTTCTTCTTTCTTTGTGTGTGTATGTACATTTGTGTGTGTGCACATATGTGCAAACAGGTTTTTGAAAGATTTATTTTCATTTAAGTGTATACGTGTGTCTATGTGCATGTAAATGCAGTTGCCTATGGAGGCTAGAAGAGGACGCTGGACCCCATGAAACTGAAGTTATAGGCAGTTGAAAGCCTCTTGAAGTGGGTGCTGGGAACAGAACTTGAGTCTTTTGGAAGAGTAGCAAGTGTTCTTATCCATTGGGCCATCTCTCCAGCCCCTGCAAATACTTTTTATACTGTGCCGCTTATAAGGCAATGAAAAAAATTGGTTTATGCTCAGTACAGATATAATTTTCTAAGATATTTTCTAAGATTAGTTCAAACTACATGATGCCAACTATAGTTTTATCTTGAGATCACTGATTCAAAGCCCTGACTCTGTCAAAGAGAAGATTCATCCCTTGTCCAGGGCCCTTTCTCCAGACCCAGGCCCACTTCCTGGTTTTAGACACTCCTTCCCAACAGGGCCAGGGCTCACCAAAGTTGGAGTTGCCAGAGCCCAGGTTGGGGACTTTAAGTCTCTTGGAACTGGGGGTGTTCTGTTGTGCTGGTCCCAGGCCATTGGATCCAACATCTGGGAGTCCAGGGAAGGGGCCTGGATACACAGGCAGCAGTGGGAACCCCTGGGTACACAGGTGCAGGAATTCATCTGCAAGGAACAGAGATTGAAAGTCAGTGAACAAAGGCACATGCTCTGCAAGCCTCAAGACCGGAGTTCAATTCATGGAACTCAGGAAGGAGCAAAAAGATTCCACAGTTGTACTGACCCACATGCATGACCCCCCGCCCTGGTAATCATAACAGTGATGATGATGATGATGATATAAGAAGAGTTTTGGGCCTGGAGAGATGGCTCAGTGGTTAAGAGCAAGGAAGAACCAGTTTGATTCCTAGCACCCACATGGCAGCTAACAATCGCCTGTAACTCCAATTCTAAGGGACATGACACTCTTTTCTGGCCTCCATGGGCATCACATGCCCATGCACTTAAATACATGCAGGCAAAACATTTATACACATAAAATAAATCACCCTCCCCCCGGAATTTATTTAAAAAGGAAAAAACTCCACAGAGTTTGAAGCCAGGCCCTTGATCCCACCCATGCCCCTCTATCTATAAGCTCAAGCTGTCACTCACCAGAACCCTTTGCAGGACACAGCTCTGGAGTGGGACCAGCTATCCAGCACCTGCCATTATCACAGAGCACCACTGTCTGTGGGTGTAGTGGCCAGCAAGGTCTGCAGCACAGCGATCCCCGATTAGCACAGAGAAGCAGATACCTACTCTGTAATCTATAACAGGATGTAGAGTGGGGCTGGTGAGCACAGGATAGGACCTGGGAGTCTGCATCAGTTTCCAAACCTGGATTCAAACCCAAGTGGCACCTGCACTAGCTGTAGAACAGCTCTCCTTGCCTGTTCTGCCTTTGTTTCCCCATCTGTAAATGAGGGTGCTCCAAGCATCCATAGCACCTCAGAAGAGTGTCGTTTAGAAGAAAAATCTGGCATTGAGCTGGCCAGATAGCTTAGTAAAGTGCATACCTTGCAAGCATAAGGACCTGAGTTTGATCCCCAGAAGCAAAAATAAAAATAAAACAAAAATAAAAATAAAAGCAAACAAAAAACAAAAAAATGGTGGGGATGTGTGTTTGTAGTCCTGGCACAGAGGAGATGGAGGCAGGCTCACTGGCCAGTCAGCTTAGGCTATTTTGCAAATTTGATGCCAGTGAGTGACCCTGACTCAAAACTGAGGGGCCTGGAGAGATGGCTGAATGGTTAAGAGCACTTGCTGATTTTGCAGAGAATCTGGGGTTCAGTTCCTAACACCCACATGGTGGCTAACAATCATCCATAACTCCAGTTCCAGGGGATTTGATGCCCTCTTCTGGCCTTGGTGGGTATTGTGCATATATGGTACTGATGGTACTGTGAAATAGTGTTCCTATGGCTTTAAAAGTATGTTTGGTAAATAAGTTGTACCTTGATCGTGTATGTCTGGAGAGCCTTGTCTCATGAGAAAGTTTATGCAAGAATGCTTGTTGAGATGTCCCCAGAATGCCGGTACTCCCCTAGTTTCTCAGGAGACATGTTGCTCTCCCAAGAAGTCATACTATGAAGATAATGTTATCTTGCTGTTAGTCTAGCCACTATATGTAAACATATATGTTTACAGAACATAGCCACTATGTTCTGTAAACATTCAGCTGTAGCTCTAATGAGTATAAGAATCAAAGCAGAGCAGCCTTTGGCACTCGTGTGTGTGTGTGTGTGTGTGTGTGTGTGTGTGTGTGTGTGAAGAAATCATACAAGTCCCCTGGTTATTAACTCAGTTCTAAGATAATCCATTCAGGTCCTGTGGATACCCCTTGGTAGCCACAGGTACACTTACATACACAAAGGCAAAACACTCAATACATATAAAAAAATTTAAAAATAAAAAATTTAAGAGAGAGTATGTGTGTGCATAGAGATTGCTCAGCAGCTAAGAGCTCTTGCTGCTCTTCCAGAGACTCATTTGATTCCCAGCACCTACATAGGGCAGCTCACAAGTGCCTGTAACTCTATCTCCAGGTGACCTGATGCCCTCTTCTGGCCTTTGTGGGTACTGCACTCATGCGATATACGCTATATCACACATAAGTACAAATAAAAATAATTTTTTTAAAAAGGTGGGCAGTGCCTGAAAAATGACAACTGATGTTGTTCTCTGGTCTGCACACATACATGTGTGTGCATGCACTTGTGCACACACAAATACATGTGCACACACATAGACGCACATGCACACACATGAACACCCATGCACACACAAAGGAAAATCTGGCACACAGCCAATCCTTAGTGCCACCTCTTTTTAAAATTTATTCACTTTTATGTTTTTAATATCTTATTATTTTTATTTTATCTCTATGAGTGTATTGCCTGCATGTGTATAAATGCACCTGTATTATGCAATGCCTGAGGAAGCCAGAATAGGGCATCAGATCCCCTGGAACTGGAGTTGTAGATGGTTTTTAGACACCATGTGGGTTCTGGGAATCAAACCCAGGTCCTCTGCAAGAGCAGCCAGTGCTCTTAACCACTGAGCCATCTCTCCAGCCCCACTTTTATTTTTATGTGTATGAGTGCTTTGCCTGCATGTATGCAAGTGCACCACTTGTGTGTGATGCTCACAAAGGACAGAAGAGGGCATTGGATCCCCTGGAACTGGAGTTATTGGAGGTTGTTAGCCACCATGTGGGTGACAGCAATCAAACCTGGGCCCTCTGCATGAGTAGCCAGTGTGCTGAATTGTGTCTCCAGCACCTCGAATACCACCTCTTATTCCCAGGTTTTCTAAATCATTTAAGTAGGTAGATTTGGGCTTCATCTGGAATAGAGTTCCAATATATAAAGTTGACACTGGCAGCAAGTTCCCTGTACGTGTAAGTATTCAACGACAGCGAGGAAGACCTCTTAGAGGGGAGGAGGCTTCTCATTACAAGTTCAAGCATGGATGTGAAGATCTGTACTCATGTGTCCTTGCTCACTGGCCTTGGTATCACAGGGAAGCATTGAGAAGCTTCTCTGGACAGTTGTATGCATCGATAGCCACTGTGTCTGTGAAGATTGATCTAGAAGCTCCCTGTGTCATCCACTTCTCACCATACTCTGGACTCCCATGAAGGTGCTCAGTAATCAGATTTTTCAGGCATATTTTTAGGTTGAAATCCTGGCAAATCTTGGCTGGTGGCCCTCTGTAAAGAAACCCCTCCCACCAGCCGGGAAGACCACTGGCAGTCTACCATGTTAATGTTTCTACCATCACAACTCCAACCTGTGCACCTAGGGGCCTCCCAGGTGTGCATGTGGGGTGTCAGGGATCTTCACTCAGCATCACAGCACTCCCTTAAAGGGGGCTGGACCTGCCCAGATAAGAGGAGGTCAACACTCTCATTCAAGGTCACCCAGCTGCTAGATCTGGGAAAGGGTGGGAAATTGGATTCTTTAAACTCAGGGGATTTGACAAGCAGCTGCCTTTCTAATAAAGAAGAAAGAGAGAATACAAAAATTTTAATGGAAATGACAGTTGCCAGTAACACTTTAAGCATCCACTGTGATCAAGCCATGATGTGTGACCCTGCCTCAACTTTTGCAGGGTACTTTTTATATCTATGAGTATGTATTGAGTACCCACTGTGTACTAGAAGTCATCTACAAACCACTCCACAAATGATCTTACTATATATCTATATATTAGTATTCTTTTTTTTTTTTTTTTTGAGATAAGGTCTCCTGTAGCTCAGGCCGGCCTTGAGCTAACTATGTATTTGAGGATGGCCCTGATCCTCCTGCCTCTGCCTTCTGAGTGCTGGAATTACTGGTGTGCACCACCACACCTGCTGTATGCAGTGCTGAGGACAGACTTCAGGGGCTCCATGCATACTACATAAGCACTTTTCCAACTGAGACACATCCCCTGCTTTACCATTGTTATTATTTTGCCTGTCATCATGACAATCATTCAAGGTTGGCATTGCTATTATCCCCATTTTGTAGATGGGGAAACTGGGGCACAGATTTTTTTTTTTTTTACAAATAGTTACCTAAAGATCACATAGTCTAAGAACAGCTCAGCTGGGAGTCAAAACCCTGGACTAAGGAGCTAGAAAGATGGCTCAGCAGAGGATCCAGTTTCGGTTCCCAGCACCCACATGGCAACTTACAACTGTCTGTAACTCCAGTTCCAGGGAATACCCTTTTTGGGGTTTGTGGGCATTGCATGCATGAGCACACTTACATACATGCAGGTAAACCACTCCTACACAGACAATAAAAATAAGTAAGTAAATAATAAATAAATAAAAGTAAAAATAAAACCTCCCAACCAAAAGCCAAACCAACAACCCAGGCCCAGATCCAAAGTCTGGTTGGAGGCAACTGGACTTTGCTCAAAGACAGCCTTTGCTAATGAGTAGCTGGATCTGTCTCTCTCAATCCAGAAGATGGATTGAGGTACCCTGCCATACCAGCTACAAAAGGTCCTAGTGGTGGAGAGCTTCAAGATGTCTGGAGTCAGCCACAGTGGTTGGGACAAACTCCAAATACAATATTCTCTACTCTACTTGGTACAGACCCAGCCTGAGGGGCCCGAGGTGATGCTGCGCACCTTGGCCAAGCCTCCTTCCCTCACCTCCAAACCGAGCTCTGCCCATCCCCACTTCCACCCTCTCCACATTCCTGGGCAGCCTTCTGGACCCTAAGCAAGGTCTAGAGCCTGAACCTCAAGTGGGATAGCAACTAAAAGTGGGGTAGAACCACTCCTGGTAGGCTAAGTGTGGGGGACTTCAGAAGGGAGTCTGTATGGGAGGTGTAGAGACCTCCCTGCCTCCCACCCTACCCTTGCCCCTCAACTACCGCCTTGGGTCTGGAGAGTTGGGTGTGGACATTTCCTTGTTCTGGACTTGTTGAATCAAGTGAAGCAAATCTTGCCTCTCTAAGCTTCACAGTTTCTCCACCTCAAAACAACAACAACAATAACAACAACAAAAACAAAATAAAAACCAAAAACCAAAAAAAATGAAGTTGCAGGGAGAAGTGTTCTTAAGAAATGTGGGGGTGGTGACACAGAGGGTAGTGGGCAGAGATGGAGGATTTATTTAAAGGTGAAAAGACTGGAGGGTCAGAAGGGCTCCAGTTGAAAAGGGAGGTTCACAGAAATGAAAGCTAGAGGGTCAGAGGGTCAGTGGGGAAACACAGAGATGGAGTGGAAAGTGTCATAGTGAGGAATGCAGCTAGTGAGCCAAACACATTGATCCAGACAGATAAAAAGGTATAGTGTGTGTGTGTGTGTGTGTGTGTGTGTGTGTGATGATGGAGGAACAGTAGTGCCAAGACACCAAGCCAGGAGACCACAGTATTAAAGGACATAGAGCTGGAGGGAAGATCAAAGGACTCCCAGACTGGTGTCCATAGAGAGCACAGAGACTGTTGAGTGGAGAGGCCGAATGCTAGAGAGGAAGACACTGGGATCCAGAGAGGCAGAAGGTTATAGGTGCTGGAGGGCTAGAGGGGCCAGGGACCATAGTGATGCTGCAGGTAAAGAAGCATTTTTCACCCACCTGGTCTTTTCCAGCCCCCTCGGCCCACCTCACCCAGGCAGCGGGCTCCATCCGGGCTGCTGGCAAAGCCTTGGGGACAGGTACTCATGTAGCTCCCCACTGTGTTGGTACAGTCACCCCCAGAGCAGAGGCTGGGCACACTGAGACATTCATCTATATCTGCACAGACAGATAGGGTGAGAGCCAGGTCCCTCATCAGCCCAAGCCCTCCTGCTCCTTGAAGGGAATCTGAGAGTTCCTGAGACAGGATGACACACTACCCTCGCATGTAATGCCTCTGTCACTGAGCTGGTGTCCAGCTGGGCAGTGACATTCAAAGGAGCCCACAGTGTTGAGACAGCTGCTGGCCCAGCACAGCTACAGGAATGAAGTTCAGCAAGTGAGAGGCCCACCAGAGGGATGAACCATGTATGCAGACGATGGGGGTGGGCCTCACTCAGTCCTCACTCCCCAGGGCTTCCATTCGCTTCCACTTACCCCACAACTCACCTTGGCAGGCCCCTGTATTGGGAACAAAGCCTTGGCGACAGCAGTGCGACTGTGCAGGGCAGAGTTCACAGGGAAGGCCCCAGGCACGACCCACAGTGGCACAGCAGAGAGCCTTGGTGCAAGTGAGGCTGGTCCACTGGTGCTGGCACCCCTCAGGGCTCACTTGGCTGAAGCAGGACACTACCTGGTAGTCTGTGGATTACACAGCATCTGGTTTTGAACTGTGGCTGTCCCACATTCCTCTATATCTCCATCACCTGCCCTCATTAGTTAACAAACTCCTGCTCATTGGTTTTTTTTTTTTTTGGTCTTTTTGAGACAGGGTCTCCCTGTAGCCCCAGCTGTCCTGAAACTCACTATGTAGACCAGGCTGGCCTTGAACTCACAGAGCCTGCCTCTGCCTCCCAAGTGCTGGGATTAAAGGCGTGCACCACCATACTCATTCTTTAGATCTTTGATATCTTCCCCCCAAAAAACCCCAAGAGAGAAGTCAGGATTTTCAAGCCTACACAAGTCTGGTCACTCTGTCCCTTCCTTCAAGGAGGGACCAAGGATGCCTGGCTGGAGAGCTTGTTTCGTGCTTGTATGTACTCCTGGCTCGGCCGAATCCCTAGGCTTTTGCAGGCTCCCATCATCTACCCAAATACTGTTGGCTCTGACACCACAGCCCTGAACCCTGAGGCCCTGCTCCAGGTAGGTGCACAAGTTTTCCCAACCAGCTGTGCACAGGGGCCCAGTTGTAATTTCCTTTCTCTACCCTTCTGATGTTTCCAATAAGTGTCTGGCTCCACACCAAGGGCAACCCTTCCCAGCATAAGGCAGCCATGCCCCTCTCCAGGCCCTTTATAAAGAAGGGGTTTCAGAGATCACTGGCAGATCTTGGGTACCCAGTCCTGCCCCTGATTTTCCATTCTGATCTCTCTTCTCCTTCCTCTCTCCCACTGACCCTCATTCTCCATTATCCACCCCCATTCATGCCTCACTTCTGACAGGCCATATTTCAATTCCTCTCTCTCTTTGGCCAAAGTGTTTCCAAAAGCACCTCTCTAGAACCCAGGCCACATGTTCACTGCATCACAACCCCTCCCCTCCTTCTGATTTACAGCAAGCTTCTCTCCAACCCTGCAACTGACCCTGGCTACTGTCACAAACCTCAGTCCCTACCTGGAGGAGTCTAGGAAGGGGCTCTACCCACGGAGGCATGCCTCCAGCCCCTGGCTGGGGGATTCTAGGCAGGTTCTCTACCACTAAGTATCGCCCCCAGGCCCTCAGCTGAGAGATTCTAGGCAGGTGCTCAACAGCTAAATCATGCCTGTAGGCCAGTGTTCACAAGTGAATCATGCTCCCAGGCTTCTTTTCACTTTCAGAAACAGGGTTTCATTTTGTATCTCAAGCTACAACAGTAGCTTGTCCCTTGCCACCAACTCCCATGACAGCATCCATCCCAGAGCCCTCTGATGGCCTTCACCTTCCTGGGCTCCTTGGTCACACTGGTCACTCTGACACCTTTGATGTTTAAAAAACTCATGGGCCTGGATATCGCCAAGCCTCGTCCTCCTGTCACTTCTCCTTATCATCCTGTGGGGCCTATGCTTCCTGTCTGCCCTAAGATGCCAACTTCCATTCTCTGCCTGGGAACCTCAGCTAAACCCTAGACTTCAGTCCTCATGGATGGGGCCTCAGTGTCCTTCTCAGGTCCTTGTAGGTCCTTGGCTAGCACTGAGTTCAAAGTCTCCCCGAGTCTGCCCCAGATAAACCTTCACCACAACTACACCTGGGGTCAGCCTCAACTCCATCTCTCTTCTTTCCACCCCACACCCAGCCCTTTTCCCACTGATTTAGCTAAGACCATCTCACTCACATCCACCAGTGGGTTGATTTTAAGATCCAGGATTCAGCTGGGAGTGGGGGATGCATGCCTGTAATCTTAGCTGCTAGAGAGGATCAGTCAAGATTGCAAATTTAAGACCAGCTTGGGCTACATAGCAAGACCCATCTCAAAAGGTAAAAAAGCAGCTGAGTATGATGGTGTACATCTTTAATCTCACTATTTTGGAGGCAGGGACAGGCGGATATCTCTGAGATCGAGGCCAGCCTAGCTTACATAGTGAGCTCCAGGTCAGCCAGGGCTACAGCACAATGAGACTGTCTCAAAAACAAACAAACAAACAAACAAACAAATGACAACAACAACAAAAAACAAAAGCAGTGAATGAAAAGCCTCACAAATCAGTTGCAATGTCTCTTCCCCCAGGAGGCCCTCCCTGTCCCTATGGCTCCTGACTTCTCTGTCCTTCATACCCCCACCCTCATCATAGCAATGAACCCCTAGGTTAGCATTTTCAAGTTGCAATTTTCTTCTTCCTATTCCTATACCAACATAGCCTCACTCTTTCCCAGGTTCCAACACAGGGCCTCACTCATAGCCAGTGAGTGACAACTATTGTAAAGAAGGGATGAGCAAATAAAAGACATGTCCTCAGACTGCCCCAGCAGCAGCAAAGCAAACAGCCATGTCTTATTCACTGCCAGAAAACCCATACCCCTCTCCAAGTGCCCCTCAGTACCTCTCTCACACTGAGGCCCCATGAAGCCATACACACAAGCACAGAGACTTGTGTGCAATGTCCTCTGTTGTGGCAGCCAGGGTCACAGATAGATGTGGATAGACAGGGGAGAGTGACTGAAATTTCCTTAGCTTCAGAGGAGGTTTGACCCAAGCAAGACTCCCTTCACCCCACTATCTGGCCTAGGTCGAGTAAGACAGTGACCAATGAGGGGCTGGCAACCTGGTTTAGTCAGTAAAGTGCCTGCTGCAAAAACATGAGGACCCGAGTTCAGATCTTTAGCCCCCATGTAAAAGCCAGGAGTGGTAGTCCTCTGTAAACCCAGTTCTGGGGAGGCAGAGACCGGGAGATCCTTGGAGGCTCACTGGCCAGCCAGCCTAGCCAAATAAATGAGCTCCAGGTTCAGTGAGAGAATCTTGTCTTAAAAAATAAGGTAGAGGGGCTGGAGAGATAGTTCAGTGGTTAAGAGCACTGGCTGCTCTTGCAGAGAACCTAGGTTCAGTTCCTAGCACCCGCATGGCAGATAACAACTGTCTGTAACTCCAGTTCCAGGGGATTTGATGGCCTCTTTTAGCCTCTTCAGGGGTGCACATGGGTGCATGCACTTAAATATGTGCAGTAACACACTCATATACAGAAAATAAGAATGAGTAAATTAGGGCTGGTTATGGTGGCACATGTCTTTGATCCCAGGACTCGGGAGGCAGAGGTGGGTGGATCTTGTGAGATCGAGGTCAGCCTGGTTTACATAATGAGTTTCAGACCAGCTGGGGTTACAGGAAGACCCTGTCTCAAAACAAACAAACAAACAAAAAAACAAACAAAAAACAAAAGTAAATTTAAAGGAATTTAAAGTGTGTGTGGGGGGGGGGGTTAAAAGCACTGCACTGGTTATACCAGGCATGGTGGTGCATGCCTTTAATCCCAGCACTTGGGAGGCAGAGGCAGGCAAATCTCTGTGAGTTCAAGGCCAGCCTGGTTTACATAGTAAGCTCCAGGCCAGCTGGGGCTTCAGGGAGACCCTGTCTCAAAAAGCCAAAAAAAAAAAGAGCACTGGTTACTCTTGCAGAGAACCTGGGTTCAGTTCCCAGCATCCACATGGAAGCTAATGATCATCCATAACTCCAGTTCCAGGGGATCCAACGCCCTCTTCTGGCCTCCCTGGGCATTGCATGTACATGGTGCACTTACATGCATGAAGGCAAAACACTCATACACATAAAAAAGTTTTTTTAAAAAATAAACAATTTATTGAGAATTTCAGACATGCATATAAGGTGTTTTGATCAAATCCATGCCCACTACCTCCCCTCCAACTCCTCTGATATTTCCCCCCCAAATTTTTTTTTTTTTTTTTAAATAAGGTGGAAAGAGCTAAAGGAGATGCCTGACATCAGCTTCTGGTGTCTATAAACATGCACACACCTATGTTTGCACACATATATGCATACACACATACACAGACTGTGAAAATGAACCTGTCACCTTTGATCTCTGGTTTTTGATGAAGGACCCATGGAGAATGAGCAAATGCTGAAGAGACCCACCCCCTGGGATTCCCAGCCCCAGCAAAGGCAGAAATAGGGCACTCAAGCTGTCCATGCACTGTGCCCACACAGCCTCTTTGGAAGAGACAGGATGACCCTTGGCAACTGCCCCCATTCATGCAGCTCACACTGCACCCTGAAGATGCTATGGACCAGGAGGGACAAACAGTAAGGTGAAGATATTTCAGGAAGGCTTGCCCAGGCATGTGCAAGCCTGGCTCAGCTCTGACCCTTCAACAAAACCAACCCGGGCTCCTAAGTGGCATTAAGATACTGGAGCCTTCGTTTTCTCCCCACCTCCAAGGGGGCATTGTCTACTCACCTCTGCTCACCCCACATCTGGGAGCCAGGGTTCCATCCATACAGGTGCACAGATTGGTCTGGGAGCAGAAGCCATCACTGCAGGTGTGCCTGCAGATGCCTAGAAAGACAGAGTGTATGGCATCAAGACCAGGACCACGGGCAGGTAGCATGGCTCAGTGGGTAAAGGAATTTGCTGTGCAAGTCTAGTGGCCTGAGTCTGATTCTCCAGAACCCACATAATGGTGGAAGAAGAGAAGTGATTCCACAAAGTTGTCCACTGACCTCCGCTCGTGTGCCATGGCATGTGTACCCCAACACACTCATCATTCATACACACAGTAATAAATAGATAAATAAATAAATAAATAGGACTACTCTATGCAGAGGGTGTGGTGGTACCCATCTGTCAAACCAGCACGTGGGAGGCTGGGGCTGTGGATGGAGAGTTGAAGCCCAGCTTGAGCTACAGATCAGGAGGAGATGAGATGGTGATGACAGCAGGAGGTAGAAACTGGCTAGGCAGTTTAGGATAAAAAGATCTCAAAGAAAAGTGACCAGTATCATTGTTGGCTAAGAACTGGAAATGTTCTTGAACCTGCCAGTGCCTGAGGACAGAGATGGCAGAACTATCTGAGCCAAAAATGTCTCTGGTTCCACCAGAGCCAAAGGCTGGGGATGCCAGGAAGGGGGTTTAGTTTTTTTTCTTTTCTTTTTTTCCTAAAGGAGTACCTTGTTCCCGGAAGCCATGCAGAAAATGTGACCAGAACCTCGAGGCACCTGGACACTTGGAATGAGAACTGGACTACCCAGCTCATCTCCCTATCCCCTCCTCTGTCTACTAAAGCCTTATTAACTCCCAAGCAATGAGGCTCACTGGAATTCCATTCCCAGGGACTCTGCCTGCTATACAGGAGCTCTGCCTTCTTTCTCTCTCCCAAGCTCCCTACAATAAGATACTTTTTTCTAAGACTTTTACTTTTTGAATTCATGAGACAAGAATATGAGTCTCTGGCTTGAGGGGGCTGTGGTGGCCATCGAGTTTTCAACCTAAGCACAACAGAGCTGAGAAAGGCTCCTCACTCTCAAAAGACGCCCCAATATTTCCATTCTGTATCAATGGGACATAGGACAACGGATGGGGAAGGGAAGGGGAAGGGGGGAAGGGGAAGTGAAGGGAGTGAGGAGGGGAAAAGGGAAGGTAAAGGAAGGAAAGGGAGAGAAGGGAAGGGAAAGGGAAAGGATGTGGAGGCAGGGAAGGGAAGGACCCAAGTCTTATGCCATCCCCAATAGCATCTGCCCAGGCAGATGCCAGGGTGTGGAATTGCTGTTCCACCCCAGCCCTGACTCTGTTCACACCCCATTTACATGGGACTGTCCTCAAGTCTCTATATATCTTCTTCAGCTCCAGGACTCTACTAGGTCATATGGAGAGACATTCTCCATCAGAAGAGCTGAACCACAGGGGACAGAGGCTTGGGTAGCTGGGCACTCTGGGAATGTACTCAGAGTCCTGAGACAGAAGCCAGAGGTAGGGAGGAGGGTGTGAGAGTGAGATAAAGACAGCTTGAGAAACCCCAAAACACAGAGGCAGAAAACAAGAAGACAAGAGAGCCAGACAGAAACGGAGTGACGGACATGCAAAAGAAATGAAAGCAGAACTGGCTAGATGGCCCAGTGGGTAAAGGCTCACCACCAAGCCTGATGACCTGAGTTTGACCCCAGAGTCTCACATGGTGAGAACCAATCCCCACAAGTTGTCCTCTGACATCTACATGTGTGTCATGGCACGTGCTCCCCTACCACCCACAAAATAAATAATTTTTAAAAGAGGGAAATGAATGCAGTAGGTCTCCCTGGAGTCTGAGGACAAAAGCAAGGGGAATTCCTAGTTTACCCAGCAGCCCCTAGCTGAGTCCCAAGACCACACATAGTCAGGGCTGGGTTTGCTGACAGGTGTCAGAGAGGACTGAGAATCCCCTGGTTGTACCCTCCATCTTCAGAAAGCTTCAACACTCATGGACAACACACTGGTTCCTGCCAGGCAATGTCCTCCAGCCAGGGCAACAGTAGGCACGAAAATGGGACCTGCAAGCATTAGGCCTTTGTGGGGAGAACCTGACAAAGTAACAAAGTTGGCATGTGTATCCACTTGGAGTTTGGACTTAGATAAGGAGGGTCCTAAAATGCAGGCAGAGCATCAGGCAAGCAGGGCATGGTGGCTCATCCCATCACTCAGGAGGGAAGACAGGAGAATTGCCACAAATGCGAGGCCAACCAGTGCTACAAGTATCAAACAAGGTTGGGTTATAGTTAGAGTAGGAGAACTTGTCACACACACACACCCCAACACGAAATCTCAAAAGCAACAGAAACAAAAAGTATAGATGGGAACGTAGTTCATTCGGTAGAGTGTTTGTTCAATATGCACCAAGATCTGAGTTCTATTCCCATAAAACCTGCTGTAGTTGGGTCAGGCATAGTAGCGAATGAATGCCTTTAATCCCAACACTCAGGAAGCAGGGGCAGGTGGATCTCTGTGAGATCCAAGCCAGCTGGGTCTACATAGTGAGTTTCTGGCCAGTTGAGTCTACAGTGAGACCCTGTCTCAACATCCCTCCTCCAAGCCCCATAAAAAAAACTTGATATGGTGGCCCACACCAAAAATCCCAGCATTTAGGAGGTGGAGACAGGAAGACCAGAAGTTCAAGGTCATCTTTGACTACATATTGAGTTCAAGGCCAGCCTGAACTACATGAAACTCTGCCTTAAACCAACCAACCAAATATAAGGCAAAAGAAGTTGAGGACTCTTTTTGGGGGGCGGGGTGGGATTAGTACCTCCTCTTTGCACCTGAGTTTCGAATGAAGAGTTTAAGCTTTGTAAAGATGTAGAATTCAACATTTTTGCCCAATTTCTCCACCATTTACATTCCGTTTAGAAAATTTACTTATTTATTATTTATTTTCATGTGTGTGTTTTGCCTCTAGTATGTAAGTGCACCACATGCATACAATGCCTGCAGAGGCCAGAGGAGGATGTTGGATTCCCAGGAACTGGAGTTAAGGATGGTGGTTAGCTGCCATGTGGGTGCTGGGAACCAAATCCAGGTCTTCTGCAAGAGCTGTCAGTGCTCTTAACAGCTGACGCATTTCTCCAATACCCAGTCTTGCACCTTTGGGAACAGACCCCAGCACCCTGAATATAGAGTCTTGAAAGAAGCTGTTTGTTAGACCTAAAATGGTTACTCCACTCAGCAAACTCCTATGCATCTAGCAAACCCAGTTATAAAAAAATCTTTTTCCCCCAACACTTTAATTTACCCTACTGAACCCCCAAAACTAACTGTGCTGATTATGCCTTCATCATAGCACTTCCAGAATGTAATAAATAAATAGCATATAAAAATCTGGGTTGGGGGGGCTGGAGAGATGGCTCAGCAATTAAGAACACTGGCTGTTCTTACAGAAGACACGGGTTTGAATCCCAGCACCTGCCGGTGCCAGCCAGCCAAGATGGATAGTACCTGAAAGGGGGAGTGAGGATTGAAAGAAAGAAAAGGAGACAGGAAAGATGCTTGGGAGGACTGACAGTGAATACTGCAGCCCGGGTTTATTTCAGCTCTGCCTTTTTATACAGAAGAACTCAATTAGTTACAACAGCTGTTTTTCCCCACCTGTATCTGAGGGTCAAGGAGTGGTCAGATCAAAGGCTTCTTTGATCATTTTGTTTACCACTATTGCCTCCAGGTCAGGTATTGTGAGGCTCTCCACATAAACACATCCCTCCTGAATGGGCAGGTTAAGTACTGGTATGCATAACACAAACTCAGTAAACAAGGCAGCCACAACTCAATGCGCATAATAGATTAGCAGCTCCCGACATCTCCCCCTTCTTTTTTTTTATTTTTATATCCCCAGATTATGCTATATCTGGGACAGAAGGACCGTACTTGTCTTAGGTTGTCTTCTGCCAGAGCAAAGCCTTACCCGTCATCGGCACATAGCTTCCATCAGCTACGCCCTGTCTTAGGTTGACTTTCTCCCAGAAGATCTTACCCGTCTTTGACTACCGGCCTCTGTTAGGGGAGGGAGCACAATCTCATATCATGCACAGCTGCCTTGACTTGCCACAGGCATAAACAACTTTACTGCCAC